TTGTTTCTAAAATTGTAGTTTTTTAAGGGGGACTGACTGTAAAAGGGAATGCAATCTATGGGAAGGTGATTTTAATTTTCTAAAGTAGTTCTTACAAAGTGAGAGGGGGCATTCAGCGAGTGTTGGAATAGTATGCAGGTTACAGGCTGTTTCATACTTAATACCAGGTGACACGATACCCAATGCCTTCCTTTGGATTGATTCGAGGTCTGAACTTCGTTCCTTAGTTAAACAAGTCCCCCAAACAGTACAGCAATATTCCAACACTGGCCTGATCATGGCAATATAAAAATTAATTAAATCTGCAGTATTTAGGCCAGATCTCCGGAGTTGCTTAAGAAAGTATAATCTGGGACCACATTTTATAATCAAGTAGTTAACATTTGTCTGCCAGTTTAAAGATTTATCAATATAGACTTCTAATAGTTAGACTCCTAATACAGTTAACTGACAGTGTAACAGCAATGGTAAATATATGTTGCAAAAAATATAGATAATAATAAAGCAGCATCGATAATAAGTGTGCATACACTATGAAAAAAAAAATGATAATAATAATAACAAATAAATAATAATGCATATAAATGATGAGAAATAATTATTATTTTGGCAGACTAGTAGATGCTTTATCCACCACATTTGCATACTTTGTTGTTGTAGGACCTCCCCCGTTATTTCTGTTGTATATTATAGTTGTTTCTTATCCCATTTGTACAGTCTCCTGATGAAGTCCACTGTGTGGACAAAAGCTATAGAATAAATTCTATATTGTTAGTCTCAAAGGTGCTGCTGTCATTTATTTTATATTGTTCTATAACAGACTAATGCGGTTACACTTTCTATTCATCATAATGTAAGTGTAATTAAAAGTAAAGCAAAGTAACATTTTTTAAAGTACAATGCAAAAACAAAATAGAAATGATATGAAAAGGGGAAAAAAAATGAATCACATCACTTTATTAAGAGTATGACTGTTGATTTATTATGACCCACCCCTCCTCCTTTCCCCTTCTCCCCAACAACTAGAGTGATTTCACAGCTGTAGCTCTGAATCACTCCTTACGCAGTCTAGCTGATGACTAGTACGTAGTGTTCAGACTCGCAGGTGACCAAGTTTCATTATGCCCACACAAGGTAGGCTGTGACAGGCTAGTTATACTGTACGTGTCATCAAGTTGAGCCAACCCAGTGTACCATTTTCAATGTCAGTTCCTATGAACGTCAGAAGTCTTCTTGGAAAGAATGTGCAAAGGAAAGCAGATAAAGCAGTTAAATTTGTAACTTGTGCCAATAAGGTCAAATTGCGTTTTCAAAAAAAAAAAAAAAAAAAGTCTCTAATGACCGATTGTTAGTGAATGCTAGCACATTGTAATCATATAATGGCCTACATATGCAAAGTACATTCATGAACATTATTTATGCATGGACGAGGAATATTTTCTTGATCTGTGTTTCTAATTGAAGTTAAACCTATACTTAAAATATGTAAAATTTTCAAATATCTACAGAACTAGTAACAAGTTTAGAATTTTATAATATGAAATATGAATCAGGAATGGCTGTTGGAATAAAAGAATTCATATAACAACATTAGGATTTTCTGATTTGTTAAAATAAAAAGAGAATCAAGTTTCTCCATAATGTTTAATGAGGTCTAATACAGTAATAACTTGTAATGACTTGCCACTAGACATAGTTGTCCCAATGGGTGTTTCTACAAGGCCTAGACAACATAATGTATTTAACACAAAAAAAAAAAAAAAAAATGGAAGTTCTAACAGTTTTTTCTTGTATTGAAACAAAATATTTATTTGTAATGATATAATTGTTATTAGTTGTTTAAAATAACAAAAATGTTCATTCTTTGCAGTATTTTTTTAAAATATAGTACTCTCCCATCCACCTTGATATTTTTGTTACAATTATTAATACTGTTATTGTTTACAGTTTTGATTTCCCTGATATTTTATAATACCACCACTATAACAACTCTGATAAAACACAGTACATTGACATACATGATTGTTTATGTACTGTATAGGGGGACATGCAATAGTAAGTTCTGCAAGATAATTTAAATGAGCCAGTATTAAACTCCCACACTTGCCTGTTGAATACATTCACAATGACCTGCGGCTGCCAATTGGCGGTGCATTGTGTAGACTTATCTAATTAGTTATTATATCAATTATGGCCACTAGAGTGTACTGTACGTGGTGCAGTTATAACATGACCACACAGGGTCCATTTAGTAGACCTGCATCCTTGGCATACTGCATGGCTACTTAGATCTTATCATATTTTGTTAGATCGTAAATACAGATAAAATAAATTGTAAATGTTTATTTATTCAAACTCTTTCAATTGTAAATATGCTTATAGAGACTTTCACAGCACTGTACCTATCACTATGATTTCTAATAATATGAAATCTTTTAGCTTATCCATAACAAGTTTATTGCAGAATAATAATAATAATAATAATAATAATAATAATAATAATAATAATAATGATGATCGACTTTATAGAGTGCATATTGTAGAGACCTAAGAGTCATTTAGCACCAGTAAAATATATTGTACCTGAATTTTGATGACATTTTGATTTGCATCGTTTTTAACTTAAAACATGATTTCAAACCTTTTTAATGCTTTGAATAATAGTGCCAATTATATTGTTCAGTCTTTGAAGCTATTTGTTTCCAAATTCGTCATTATTCACATCTCAGTCATTTTGTCACTTCGCTATAGAGCAAAGACCTTTCCAAGCAGAGTTCCATTTCATAATAAGGCCAAAAAAAAAAAAAAATTCTGTTGGCCGTGTTTTGTGAAAATCCAAAAAATGTGTAGGTCGGTAGGGAAACTTTTTTTTTTAAACCAAAAATGCTTAAAAAGTAGAAAATGCACAAATATAATAACAATTTTGCATTCGCGTTGCATACCATGCATCAAAATAGGCTAGGCCTTGGGCCTCTCCCCTAGCCTAGTCCAAGGCTGTTTCAGCCTTATTAGCTCCTGTAAAAAAATGCTGTTCCTTGTAGTAAAAAAAAAAAAAAAAACTAAACTAAAATGCCCACCCTGAATTTTCTAAAATTTGGGTCGGTCGGTTGTGGCCAACACAATATTTTATTTATTTTGGCCTAATGATAATAATTAAGCACTAAGTATCCACATTGTCCATTGCACTTTAAACCACATTAAAACAAGCAAGAAAGTATGACTTGGCTTAGAATTCCAGTAAGAATTTCTCCACAGAAAGTCATTGCCTCTGTTTGAACCTGTCCTTGATGTCCACCTCTCTATCTTTATCTTCGGTTTAGCATTACATCGACCCACTTTTTTCGCTTTTGGTCACTACTTGAATTCAAATTTAAAGTCTCTGAATCTATTTGCGTTAATATTCAACCAATCTTGTCATCCTTGTGCTGTTTGGCACTCTGCTGTACTTCACATATCTAAATTCAGTTCTAAATTCAACCTATATTCACTCAGTTCTCAGAATTTTCATCAATATGTTGACTTTCAGATATTGTCAAATGTCTATTAAAAGAATTCCTCTATGGTATGAACTTGGTATGTGTGAATGTAATTGAGAAAAAAAAATTACCACTGTACTGTAGTGTACAACACAATATTCCACATTTAATTTAATCCTGGTGTACTGGTATTCAATGTCATAGAAAGATGGATACGATTTTATAATATCAGATTGTATCTCACAGGGTTGAAGCTGTACAAAACTAAGGGTGGGTGATAAACATTTTGAGAATGATGTGTGATAAATTATTATACAGTACTATAAATAATAAGAGTGGATTTTAAGGATGGAAAAGTGGATTAATAAGGGTTGGTGAAGGGTCATGAAGTTAGCTTTAGGCTAGGTGGAAAGCTTCACAAGACTGGGTTGCCCCATTCGCCATAACTACATCTCTGATCTCAACTCATGATGTACAGTATCTTTTTTATATTCATAAATTGGTAATGAATCCACATTGGCCTGCTGTACTGTATAGCAGCCACCTGAATACCATTAGAGGCCAATATATAAGCAAATTAAACAACTTAACATAGCTAATTAATAGGTCCCAAAGTTGCAGTTAACATTATAAAATTCAAATGTACTCTGCTATACAAAGTGTAAAATGTGTTGTAAAATTATGAGTAAAATTAGCTTAAATTTTACAGTATTTAAAATTTAGCAATATTTTTGAAGTTTAGGTTGAACTACTGTAGTTATTCAAATTCTTAGGCTAAGCATCATTTTGCCTTTTTCATTAAAGTAGACACTGTTAACGCCACCCTCCCATCCTAGCGTATGTAATAATTGGTATTCTCATAAAATGAACACAATAGATGATCCCTGATTTATATACCAATGTAGTAAGGATATAGACTACTGTTGTTTCCTCATTTAAAGTACATTATTTGCATGAGAAGGGTTTAAAAAACTCATCTATATGTGGTTGAGGTGTCAGGGGTTTTCTATCTTCAGACATATAGACTGAGAATGGTAATTATAAGGCTAGTGACTGGAATAAGAAATATAACATAATCATTGTCATTTCATCAAATACAGAGAACTTAACATGATTCAGTTGTAATGTTCCTCTTTCCTAAATACTGTAGATATTAGTAAATATAAATGTTAATAAAAATAAATACTGAATAAGTCTGTTCTTATTCATATAAAATTATTTCTTAAATAGAGAAAATTTATGTTGAATTACTAATTTTTTTATATATAATTATTGTTTCACTATTTAAAAAAAAATCCAAATTATTGTGGACAATGTTTTAATTGTTTTTAATGTAGAGTTTATGGAGTAGGCCTACTGTATCTCTATGCCCATCTTATTTGAGTGCTATATTTTTTGGAGTTAATAAGAGCTTTTTTGAGATATGTACTTTGCCTCCTATTCTCAGACAGTCGACAGATAAAAATTGGAGATTTACAAAAGGAACCACAATAATGACAATTCTTTATAATTTTTATCTTTTAGATGTTCAGAGCGGAATTATGATACTTCAAAGTTTTACAACAGAGTAGCGTGCTACCCATTTGATGACCACAACCCACCTAAGATGGAGCTGATTAAACCCTTCTGTGAAGATGTGACTTCATGGCTCGAAGCAAGTGTCAAGAATATTGCAGCAATACACTGTAAAGCAGGAAAAGTAGGACATTGTTTTTATACCACCTTAGGGAGTAATTATGTTGTTTTTACACCACCTTAGAGAGTAATTATATCATATTTTGTAAAGCATGCTCATCAGTGTCTTTAAAATGTAAAACATGGTAGGAATTGTTCTGTTTCTTGATTTACTTTTGTAAATATTTCTTTCCACTTTTTTTGTTGTCTCTGTAGAATGATTTAATTATTAAGGATTTTATATTTAATATTTTATTAAGAAACACCAATGAAATGAAAAGACCTCCTACACTTTTCCCTCTCAATGTTCACTTTTATCTATATTTTTTTTTTGATTGGTCAATTTTGTTGTAGGGGCGGACCGGTGTAATGGTATGTGCTCTCTTACTACACCAGGGAAGATGTCGTACAGCGCAAGATGCTATGGATTTCTACGGTGCTGTTCGGACACGAGATGGAAAGGTGCGTTGTATGCCTTTTCAAAATAGTCAATTGCCAATACTATACTATTACCATAATACTCTGCATCTGAGCCAACATAGAGGCCAGGATATTTGCATTCTTAACCTGATTCTTGTGGTGAATTATTGAAGTGACATTCTGTTCATAACAGTAGCTAAATTACATTGGTTTCACGCAGTCTGTATTAGCTGTAGCGAAGGCAAGCGTTTCCTGGATAGACCTGCGTTTGTAGTTGCATTACCTTGATAATAATTGGTTGTCATTGTAAAATGCATTCCCTTCAAGAAGTTGGTACCTGGATAAGGAAATTATCACCTGATTAGTGACAAGACAAAAAATATTCAGAAAGTTGTCATTTAAATGGCTTCACTGATACACTTGGTATGATATACCTACTTTGCCAGTCTTACCCATGATGTATTTGTAGCATACATGCATGCTGTATAATATATGGATTCTTTGTCATCTGTATTCAATAGTGTTATAAAGTATAAAGACCATTGTCTCTAAATATCAGTCATACCATATCTACAGCCCCAGTTGAACTTTTCTGAAGTTTTATTATGATTTTAATCATTTCTTTTGTATTGTCAGAAATATGAATAATTGCAAGTGATTTACATAAAATGTATATTATGACTTCAATATACTTTTCAATATAATTCAATAGTTTTTATCAATACTCCTTCAAATGTTTGATCAGACTTTCCTGTTGTATGTTATGATGGTTTTGAACCATGAAATGGAATAGGATTTGTCATGGCATATCTGGCCAGGCTGAATATACTGTAGGCACCTATTGTATGCACTGCTTGGTGGGCTGTGAAGGGGTACGTGATGTATTTCAGCTTTTTAGTAGGCTTCAGTCGCTGTCTTTGACTTGGTATTTGAGTTCGCAGCCCATATGCCGATACAGTTACTGTATTTCTTGTGACACAAACACCCTTTTGATTAGATTCACAGTAGGGATAAGGAGCTAACCGTTTGCACCCGTGTGAGAATGTATGATTGGTTAGCGCAACCGTTACCAGGATAGCGCTCGCTAGGCCAATAGAAAACTTTCCAGTTTTCTATTGGCCAGCGATTCCACCGCCATCTTCTTGATATCTGGATCGGGGATTTTCTCATATGAACGCAAGGGTGAAACGTGTATGTTATGTATCTGGATCCTGCTAACTAGCTGGTGTGCGTGAACAAAGCATAAGCATATTAAGATCATGACCTAATCCAAGAAAAAATGTATTTAAAAAAATCTTTTTTAAATATTCTCTTAATTTGCTTATATCCTTTTAATGTTAGTTTTTATAACCAACTGTGTTGTAGCAGTATTCGGTTGTTATAGAGATATGAATAGTATACTGTGTTCGTATTTATATTTAGCTGTGTGTGTGTGTGCTATGCTCCTGCAGTAGGCCAAAGAGTATAAAACTGCAAGAGGTCTCACTGCCGGGGATTCTTTGGAACACAATCCTATTTCAAAAAGTACTACCCAAAAGGGGCATATCTTTAAAAGACGTTCGATGATTGAACGTGTGCTGCGTTCACGTTCGAGTTTTGAACTCTATTTGAATTCGAATAGGGCGCCCCCTATTTTGTGGTACTTTTTTAACGTTCCTGCATATAAAATCATGGCAGTGGGACCTCTTGTAGTTTTATACTCTTTGAGTAGGCCTACGCGTTAACTACACATCTGCAGTCTCTAGGCTATTTTGTAATTTGTATTGTGTTAGACGAACTTGTTTGTAATTTTTCACATTCGTCAAAGAAATAAACATTTTTCAAAGCATTCGAGAGAGAATACAGTCACTGTCACTAACTTTTTGGTCGGTGCAGACAGGTAAAAATCTTGGGATGATTTCATAACTACGCAGTCAGTATTGTTACACTGTTCTTCCCTGTGGTCCAGGGTATTATCTTAAACAACATTTAATTACAAAATAAAATTAAAAGAAAAATGCATAAAAATATAAAAACAGTATACAGTGATGACGTCACGATTATACATTAAAATACTTCACTGGGCCTCTCCTGGTTAAAATGTAGGTAATAGTTTACAAATCTCAGATTTTGTACTTTATTCTAAATATTAAGATCATAAAAGATATTTACATGTAGAGTAAGTACTTAATTTAGGCTAATAAAATGTCCTGTACAGAATACATTTATAGCAACAAGGGCCTTTGTTAAACTGCAAGTTATTCCAGTCTACCAGCTTATCTTCATGAAGCAACTCTCTATAAATTTATTACATCACCTTTACATTTATGAAGACAAATTTACATACTATTAATATGCATGTAAGCTGATAATATGAGGTCAAAGTTTAATTTATAATGATGATTGTAGATAAATATTGGTTGAGCTAATGAACTTGAATAATGCAATTAACTCTTTGAAGTGTTTACTTTTCATCCTGTAAGTAAATTATTTTTTTTTCAATTGAAAATTAAAATGAGAAAATATTTTCTTAAGAGTGACAAGGTGTAATATTAGTACATAACTCAAAGTTACCTATCCATGAAGTTAAGGTTGGGGTATGTTCTCAATGATCACGGAAATACCTGTCTAAAGAAAGAGGCATTATTTTAGCCGAATATCCACTTTCTAAAAAACTGTAACAGTAGAGTATATCTGTAGACCCTTGGCTGCTATCATCATCATCATCCCCTCTTGGGGTGGGGGTCTGGTTGTCTTGACACCACTTTCCATTCTTCCCTGTCACCAACTCTGCTCAGATCAACCACTCTACTGTAATTAATTTAAATATTTTGTGTTTAAGTAAAGACTAAATTTTTTAATCTGTGTTTTATTAAATGTTAATAACTTGTTGATTCTTTTACCAGACCAATTCAGTGTTTTCTTGAATTATTAAGATCATTCAAAATTTCCCACAAGACAGTGCATATGTTTTTGTGCACATCGCATGTAACAATTTATTTTTTACACATCACATGTAACAATTTGTTTTTTACTCACAGGGTGTAACAATCCCTAGTCAGCGGCGGTATGTTGGTTACTATGGAGAACTTGTGACGAGGCGTCTAGAATATACGCAAGAAACGTTACTACTCAAGAGAGTTACTGTGGAAACAATACCTATGATATCGGGCGGAACATGTACACCCTTTTTCGTTGTTTATCAACATAAAGTTAAGATTCATACATCTGAAGTAGTAAAGGTAATTACATTTGGTGTATTTTGTCCCACAAACAATGCTAATACTCTAATAAATATTTTTCACTCATTTTAATTTTTCCTAAGATGCAATTGTTTGTCAGTAAGTGACAGTAAACAGGATTATCTTTGAAAGGTAGGAGGTTACATGATTTTTTACCCAAGGGAGGTTGGTAGTACTTATGTAAGAATTTGAGTCAGCACCCCCCGGCGGAGAAACAACAAGCATGGCAGACATTATAGCCATGACGCAAGATGCGTCTTACACGAGCCCAGCTGTTTATGTTAATTTCCCGCTTACTAGAATGATACAGCTTCGCCAGTAGATTCGGAAAGTTCCTAATGAGGATCTTAAAGATGAATCAGAAGTTTGAAATGATTGTATCCGTCATTTGACCTTTGAACCACGTGGTATAGACTGCCCCAGTGGCAATTAACAAACTGTAAATTGACAGGGTAAATGTTTAGGTTTAATTGAAGCATCATCGTGCTTCAGGCAACTGTAGTCCATAATTGATTTAATGCATTGTATTGTTACCCTGGAATATGCTTAAGGAAATTTTGACCGATATTGTCCTCTACAGCTTTTGGTAATTGGCAACCAATAGTAAAAATGATTGTGGCAATGTTAATCCTAAATGTTTTCTCAGACATTAAAATTAATGATTTTATCCTTTTAGATATTTTGAAGGTCATTTCCCTTTGTTTTTTCATGTCCGTTTAAGTTCTACCTTTTGTAGTTAAAATTAGAAATTCAAGAATACTGCTGCACTCCATGTTAGTACTGTACTGTATTTATAAATGATCGATAGTAAACTCAATAAAACAAATTTCACTACCAGTTTAATTTTTTTGATATTAACCATAATTTATTATCTTCATTATCTATTGACAAAAAAACCATTACAGTACTTCTTTCATCTGTATTAACTTTCAGTACAAATTATGTAGTACTCATTTCCATTGTGGTTCAGAAATTACTACAAAAATGTAAGAAAATATAATTGGTAAATATCAGAAAGTACTTTATAAGGATGATGTCACATTGAATAGCCAACTATAATTAGTATAAATGACCTCACCATCTGTAGTAGGAATTATAATTCAATGGCTGGCCCAACTGCTTACTATAATTCCTCTTTTTTGCCAGTTATTTTTATTTTGTCTGTTCAATGTAGTTTCCGATAATGTCTTTAGAAAGTGCATTGACCCTTTTACCTCTAAAACATGGTTGAACGACTGAATCGTTGAGTGTTCTTTGTGGGATCGTTTCTCACTGCTGTAACCTTTTAATCATTCGCGGTACTGAGTGCAGTGTCCTATAAATGGCCGCCCAACGATTCTTGTCGATTACATTGAAGACAATTTCTGTCTTGTGTGACACTTTATGGGAATTTATTTTGATCAGATGGTCGGCAGTAATTAGTGTTTTTTATCATCATGAACACTTGTCCTGGATGGTGAGTGCAACGTGTGGAAATGCTTCCTTTGTGCTTAAAATGATACAGTGATTCTCCTCAACATCCATTCCTAGGTGTTTGGCTCAAATCCTTTTGTCAGTTATCCCATTGCTATTAAGGACACAGGTTCATTGAGGCAAAGATGGGACCTGTGAATAATACGCTGGTATTGTTGTTCCATAAAGACATACAGTAGCTCTTGGTGAATCACTATCTAGAAGATAGGAAGCTCTGGGAAAGAGGAAAGATCCATGATTTCCAAACAAGGGAGGGTAATCATAGCAACATATGTGATGAACAGTACATCATCTCTAGAAATTTTTTTAAACAGCAAAACCAGGCAGTTTGGCACTTGACACAGCTGAATACATCATACCTTTTTTACTTTACCCTGATGTAGTCATAAAGTTATATAGTTATGTAATTAACAATAATTTATAACTTCATTGATTTTTCATAGGATAAAATAAGTAAAATGGCTCCCAAAAGGATAATTTGTCCTAGTGTTGTGAAGGCCAGATATCAGTCATTTTTATTAATGACATTTGTTTAAAATTTAAAGGCCAAAAAAAAGAAAATGAGACATTTAAATAGTTTAAAGAATAAAATAAAATCCTTAAAAAAACCATTCTGAACCTACTGTAATGTCGCAAGATAGAAAACTTTAAACAAAAAAAATAATTTAATACATTGATATTTATTATTTCTATTTCTGTGTCATTGAATTGTAAACACCATGTTGAACATTATAGTTCCCTTGATATATGATCATATGACACAAAGTTTTAATGTCAACTATGCATTAAAACATCATTTGAGGATTGTTTATGTTGTATTGAATATCCTAAACATAGCCATGACATACGGTAGCTAACTGCTCATTTATGATTTGGAAAAGCAGAGATTACAATTGTTTTGAAGTTGCAATAACCTAGTACGCTTTTGAATATTTCATTGATACAAGAAAAGATTTGTCAACTTGGCGAATGAAAAAAAAAAACTAATATCCAAAGATGTTCATGATTAAATGTAGAATAATAGTTAATATTTTATTATTAAATTCGGATTCAACTTTAATTTATTTTTGCATGCCATTATGAAATGAATAATGAAAAAGCATTTGAACAATACATGTGAGCTGAAATTATTATTGGTTTAAACAAAAGAAAATATTTATACTGTATAATGGAATAAGCTGTTTATATACTAATGCTGGTTTTGGGCTCAAATCATACAAACGCTGAATGTATTTTGCTCTTGACAAAACAACTTTGACTTCCTAAGACACTCACATTGAGACTTACAAGCAGCTTTATAAAGCACTGCATATATCATGCAAGTGTCAAATCAGTTGCTGTTGGAAATAAATGAAATAATTTTTTTTTACTTTTACAAGTTTAAATAATGCTAAACATTTGTATATTATTATCTGGGTTTTTGTATAGACATTTGAAATATTATAGACTTACAAATGTGGTGAAATATAAAAAAAAACGAATATGTAGCAGTGAATATACTTTTTGAAATTATGATAGCGTTGAATTTGTATTTAGGTATTTAATTCTTTGTAGAGGTTGTCAACCTCGTTGTGGCTTTGTCGTTCCAGGATACACAATTAGCTTTAAATTTAGATGCGATTGCCAGTAGGTAGGTAGGAGTGTTCAAAGCCTGAATGAAAGGAAGGAAGTAAGGCAATGGAACTCTCAGGAATGCAGTGATTTACAAGATGTGCAATGCAATGCAACTTTTATTAGAAGAAATGTTAAATTGCATACTTTAGGGAATGTCTATAAATAACAATAACATTCTAAAATATAAATTACAGACACTTTGAATATAAATTGTATGGATGTACAATATAGAGTTAAACTTTTAGTATAAAGTCACTAAATGAATATTAAAAAATATGTCAGTTGAATCTTACTATACACAATAATGCTTTATCAGCTTTCCTTAAAAAAATGTGAAAGTAAACAATTATTTAATGTAAATAATTTTACAATAGGGAACTTTTTATTTTGCTATAGTGTGACTCTGGGATGAATTTACTCATGCGTGACCATGCAGCCTTCTCGGCACGAGATAGATATGGGTTAAACTGCATCCTAGAATTCAGTTGGCAAGAACCGAATGTCATTTCATGCACAGATGACAGTCTGTGAAGCCTTACCGTCGTTGTTGTGCAAAACCTCCCTAATGTGACCTCATTGCATTTTAACTGACTAAAGCCTCGTTTAGAATATCAAATTTTGTTTGACAAAACGTGGCATGCCCCTAATATGGTCATTGACCATATATAGACACATCATGACTATATATGGGCATACAACAGTGTTTTGTTTAATGTGTTTCTGAGCGGTTACAACCTAAAAAGCTACAGATTCCTCTATATTTTTACTGTAAATGCTAGAATAAGCGCCGCTGCACTTTTCAAATTGTTGGCGGTTTCAGTGCAGCGCTTATTCTAGAGCGACGCTTATAATAAATATTAGCGTGGCGCTTTCTTTCCATACTGGTTCCCATGTTACCTATTTCACGTATTCCCGTAGTTCGGTAGGCCTATCATAGGTTCTACGTCATCGTAAATAAATGTTTATAAAGAAATGGCACTTGTGTCTTCATTGTGTTATTTATTCATTTTAACATTGTATGTATTTAAAACTGTATAGTATTTAAAACCCTGTTTCTCAAAGTGTTTCTTTACACACAGGGTAATATATATTCTTGCATAAGCGCAGCGCAGCGGCACTTATTCAAGAGCGGCGCTTAACAAAAAAAAAATCATTTTTGATGCAGCGATTATTCGAGAGCGTTGCTTATGTCAGCATTTACAGTATGCAAAGAATAAAAGGCATTTTATATCGTTTGAAACCTGAAGCATTAAAAAAAGTATATATTAAATTAAGTAAAGCTGTGCTTAATACGGTGGGTTAAAACTGTTTAAGCAGGTACAGTTAGTGGAAGATTACCGTTTCACGATAAGTCATTATTAATAGACTTCTGGTTACAAGTAAGTACAGTAAAAGCTTTTAAATTTAGTCTTTACTTTGAAAAATGGTTGCTTTTCTATACATCAGCAACTGCATAGGGACAGAAATGTTTACAGAATACCAATGAGAAGCAAGAAAATCTGGGCATTTAAGTAGTCAAGAAAAAAAATGAAATTTCTTAAAAATTATGTCGCGTGGAATATGATATAAACATTTTAATTGGGGCTAAATGGTGGGAATTATTGTGAAGTTTAACTTGATATAATTGAAATGGTGGTTAAAATTACTGTACTATTTTATGGAGCAGATAATAATTGACAAAACATGATGTACATTATATTTGGCAGAGAGATGAGTACAATGTTTTAATTAGCATCCATGATAGTGATCAAATCTAAATCAAATCAAATCAAACTGTATTTGTTCCATTCATAAAATACAATGGAAAAATCTCTTCCTTGGATGGAACTTTGATTACAGGTACAGGTGATAGCAATGGTCAGGACTTACAGGGGTAGGGTGTAATAAAACTCCTTCCCATAAAAGTATTGAAATATCCTTCACTATATGTGGATTTTGATTATTAAAATGCCATGCCATCAGTTACTAACAGTGGCCAAGATTACAGGGGCTAGGGTCTATTAAACCTCATACACCTTTTCATAAAAGTATTAAAACCTCTATATGATGACAACATTGCAAATGACTATTATGTGATAAACCATTCAGAGGATGTATTACCCACAATGCATTTTTTTCGATGTTACTGCTTGAGTTGAGCACTCGAGGCACGGTCAATGTCCATGCACTAATCCATAAAGGCTTAACATAAGAGACTATATATAAAAATGAATAAAAACCACATCAGTTATATGTTTCCTTAAATGGCCACGTCACTGCGGATTAAGCATGATCCACACAGAAGATAAATTTAAAATCAATATAGGTTTCAATACTCCAAAACCATAATCATATTCTAATATAAATACATATTATTTTAATAAATATATACTCTGTAGGTAAGTGCATAACATTAAGCAGTCAAATTAAATATCAATTATGAATTTCAATAATCGTATTGTAATGCAATAAAGATGATCTTCATGTGAAAGAGACTACATACAGGATTTTGAAAACATTTTAAAAATTCAGAATCAGAAGCAGAATATATTTATTTCTTTACGAATATTTGCATAATAAGGACAACATTGCAGTCCCTTTACCGTCAGCACGATGTTAAATTGGGGCCTAGAGTTTTCATCAAACAACAGGTCAAAAAAGTACTATTTTTCAGGTTTCAGGGGGATAGTACTTTTTCAGGGGAATGGTACTTTCTATTGCCTGCTTCTTAACCAATCGGATGCCTAGAATCTTTGTATTTTTAGTCTAAAGAAGGTGACTGTACTTAATTCATTCATATTAAATAGCAAGAATTCACAAAAAAATATGTTATTTAGATTTGAATCTTGTTAAGCTCATTGGATTTTTATGATGTTATAATGTATTACAGGTATTTAACTTAACAATGCACATTTTTCTTTATATTTTACTGTTAAGATGCTTGTATTCATCCATAATTTGATCTAATATGTATAATGACTTTTTATTGATTATTGTTATTATCTAATTTGTATTTTAAATATTTTAATTGTTAGACTATTGTAAACTTGGAGTTTATCAGCATTTTTGTTGTTTCCAAGTATTTATACCAAATTAATTAAAAAAATAATAATAAAAGAAACACATTTATCAAAACTTATTTAATATTAGTGTAAATATATTAAATTTATTGATACCCCAGAATATGATACAGTATTAGTACATGTTGTGTACTAATGTCAAACAATCAATTTTGGTCTTCGATGCCAGTCTTAAATATTTTGAGTGGTAGCTTATTGATTAAGATACTGACTATTTAGGACTCCCAGTAAAGAAGTGTAAAGATGCATGATACAGAAAAAATTTTAATTTTACATGAGAAATACCATATTTATTTGAATAAACAGCCCGGGATATTGTTTTGAAGGAGTTTTAGTAGGCATTTGTTTGAGGGAGGTGTTTATTTGATGGCGGCGTTAATTTTTATTGGTGTAAAAAAGATGTATACTTAAATAAATGCCCATTAATTTCACTTGTAAGAAAATTTTCTGTTGGAATACAACACTAGTAGCATGTGTTGAGAATTATGTTTCCATTAGATTTGTATACAGTCATTTGTCGGGGGGGGGTCCATTTATTCGAGGAAAAACATAAATGCTCAGGGCATTGATTGGAGGGAGGCATTTATTCCAAATTTATTTGAATAAATACTGTATATTTAAAATAAATGTGGTTAGTTTCATCTGATGTTGAGAATAGGGACCATCCATTATTTTCTTCTTTAGTAAGAGTAGTTAACAGTGCATGTACTTTTTGTTAAAAATGACAACAGTTTTTTCCATTAAGTAGATATTCATTATTCAGAGTAACGTTCATTCTATGTTAGATACATCTATTATACTATCAATAAATAAAATACAATTTTTATGTTCAATTCATTTTTCATACTTCAAAACCACTGTTAGTCATAGCATTTATTATCTTTAAATTAAAAAGGTTTGAAGCCTAAAAAATAATTTGAAATCTATGAGTTTGAAGCATTTTAAAAAATAATATTTCATAGCATACATGCAATTTGAATTGTTGATTATCGTACACTAGTTTTAAAATGTACAGTTTAGTATTTAGTATGAAATGAAGCATGTAAGCACTTGATGTTCGCAGTGCAGCTACGGTGAACCAGGGTCGTTGGATTTAGTAGAAGGTCAAGTAGTTAACGATTATCCGGCTAAAGCAACACGATGTGTAGGTTCATGAAAAGAGCAAAGTTTACAACATTCATCTTCTTCTATACATGTTCTCAACTCAGACCTGTTTTAATTCCTGGAAATGTTACTTGGATTTGAGATTGTTTGTAGAAGATAGGGCTTTTCTATATTGTTCTGATATGTAAAGAAATTAATTATTTCTCAGCAAAATAAAACATTACTTTATTATTAATGAATCCTAAATTTTGTTCATCATTGTTCTGGGAGCACAGTACAGTATACTCAATTAATAGAGAATGTACAATACAGGAAGATGATGATGATTTTAATATTATTACAAACAATGTTGTCTTTTTAACTATACAGATACCATATTTTATTTGAGTGTTCCATTCGTATTTCACACACTTGATACTCTAATGAAGTCTGTAATGAGGGTTGAAAGTTGATTATTTGGAACACTAGATGCTCTGTAACTAAATTTGTTTCAACAAAATTTTCAAGGCTCAGGGAAGTGTAGTCCTGAACAATTTCATTCCTCAGTCACGGGTTTAGCCAGAAAAACGATATAGGCCGTCCAAAATGGAAGCCAGTGGGCGTGGCACTGAGCTGATGGGTGGGCCATACCCATGTGAATCCCCACTGAATTTTGGTACAAAAGCAACGTACATTCAATCAATAAATGTTGTTTTTATCAAAAGTAAATATGATTTAGCTTTAGTTTAATGTAACATTCAATAGACTTGAAGAATATAAAGAATTTTCTAAAGGTAGACCAGTCCCAATTAGGCTAGGCTGAGCTGATTAGGCCAAGCCGGCCAAGCCGTCCAAGCTGTCATGGTAAAAGTGGCCTTCCTAAATAATTGTAGGCCGTCCAAAAGACGGCCGGACAGCTCGCTGGCTAAGCCTATGTCCTTAATGCTCCATAATAAAACCAAACCTTTAGAAGTGGATTGCTTATCATTTCAGACTTTTGTTGCTCTAACCAAGTCTATAACATGAGGTGTGGGAGTGGTAAAATGTATGAATTGATAATACTCTATAGTAATAACTCTTATAACAACAATGTGATAACATTTTAAAGCACCTGTTAATGTTTAATTTCCAATCTAACCTGTTGCGTAAAAAAAATAAATAAAAACATCACTACTAATAAATATTGAAATTTAAAAGGAAAGAAGGTTCAACAGGTAATTGAGAGAATTACAAATTGTATTACAGAATATATTGAAATATTATTTCCAATAGCCATCAGAAGAATGATAAGGGTAATAATACCCCTATTATAATGATATATTAATATGCATTAGCCTATGGAGAAACGTGTGTCTTGTGAAGGAGTACACGACGCCGGAGGTCAATGCCCTGTAATTTGGAGCATGCAGGAGCTGGGTTTCCTGGTTATCAAAGCATGAGTTTCCTGACCACCTGGTCCTGATGATTGGCTTGCCTATATAGTGTGCTTGACAAGTGTCTACTTTCTTAATCAGTGTCTGTCAAACTACTTTCTGTCCTGTAACTCCTGGGTGTTTTTTTTTAAATGTATTTTTTAGAGTGTTTTGATGTATTTTGTTTGAGGAATGTTTGTAGGGGGAGAATTATGTCTTTATTTGATATTATTATCTGCTCTTTCTGGTTGATATCATAAAATTAGTTGATTAATTTTTTCTTTATCGCATATAGTACTTCAAGTTTATATTTGTTGTTACTGTCACAATCAGGCACAATCAATTCAAAGAGGTGGAGGCTGGTTATCAACACAAAATATTACGTAAATAATAGTATTGATATATAATAATTCTAACTGCTAATTCCCTAATGATGGTGGAAGGATAATTCTCATATAATAATTAATATTTTATATTGTATGATTCTTATTTCGGCTTGCTTTTTTTTTTTTAGGGCTTAAAAAGAGGAGATCAGAAGATCAGGTTCAACATGTTACAACCATTCCCTGTATGCGGTGACGTAAAGATAGATTTCTTCCATAAAGCCAGTAAATTAAAAAAGGTAAATAGCCTAACACAAGCAAACCCACCAGGTTAATTCCACTGCATGATAGACTTGCTGACTCTTATGATAAACCACTTTTTTCTTCCATTTTTAGACCATAATTGAGGATGAATATCTACCTTCATCATAAATTGTATTTATTTTTTAATTAGAAGTCCGATATATATAC